CCCCCCAGAGTTTACACATATCTTTCTCGAGCCACACATGCACAGCAAACCACAGCTATGAAGTCTCATTCGTGCTTTGAACTGGTATAGGTGTGTAAGAGGTATAGCAACATAGCATTCATACGGACCCACGGTAGCTACAATTCTGTTCCCAGGTATCGCGCGCATGAGGCTTCAAAGCTGTGGATTGCTGTGCGTGTGTAGAGGTTATCGAGCGGCTGACGGAAAGGGAACTTGAAGTACTATACCTGGTAGCTGCACTATAGCTACCCTGGGTCTCTATACCTGGCAAGGTGCCAACTACACCTTTCCATTCAGATGATGCAAATGATGCAAATTGCATTTCTTGCATCACCACCCCTCAAAAATCACCTCCAACACAACCTCAAAAAACCTTCCCTCGACGCACCCTCCTCCCCCAGCATGTGCCGAGCTTTCGTAATTCGCCACAATCACAAGACACGCAAAAGCTCGCCCTGTTTGCACACGAACCAAAAAGATTCGACAAAATCCTCAGTAGCAAACATACTGTACTCGGTTTGAGGTGACTGAGCCCACCAGGCTTAGCATCCTCCTTCAGGCCCACTTCATTTATTGGAGCTTTACGAGGGTGTTCGCAACCATGCCTCTTGCAGATGTGGCTTTAGCAACTTTCTCACATCTGCGGTGGAATCTGTGGTGAAAGCTTTGGTCGTCGTGTTTGTGGACAAAGGGGAATGCCTCTGGTCTTATCCCTGGCGCCGTGGCGTCGTCATTGAATGTGTCAACCTTGATCTCGTATTCGTCAACCCATCAAACCCCCTCCCGAAACTTCCAAATCTGCTCACGAAACCTACATAATTGTATACATATATATATATATATTCTAAACCCTGCTCGGGAATCCTCGGAACCTTTCCGGAACCTCCAGAAACTCAGATCGGCAACCTTGTTCATGGCCCCTTAGGACCTGTCTTGGCAAGGCCTTCGAGGTCCGACTGAGGTCGTGGCCCAGTCCACCACCGTATACTCTTTCATGCTGCGTGTGGGAGTCGTATAGCGAATCCACGCACCACAGAGGATTGCACCTGCAGGTTGCCCTTTTCTTTCAGAGGGGTTTTGAAAGAACCGTGCTTGTTCGGATTCTTTCGCTGCTGCCAACTGCAGCAATCGCAGAGCAACGCCGCCACCTGAAGAGAGGCCATACACCACAATGTCCTTTGATGACGTCCTTGTCAGCAACCATTCGTATCCTCGACACGCATCAACCACTGCGTCCTCAATGCGATGCTCGGGGTAGAGCCGCATGTCGATCATGAAGACATCGCATCCGGTCCGGCGACCGTACTGTTCCGCAAAGCCCATGCTCCCTTTGATGCTCCCCCCCGACAAAGGCACCTCCAAAAATCCAATAGATCACCTTTCCGTTTCCTCCAATGTGCAAATAGGTTCCACGCACACCACGTTCAGGTATGTGGATGTGTTCCAGCTTCAAACTCAGTGAAGGTGGGCAGCTACTGTCCAGCTGATTCAAGCTGAAACGCATTCGCCTTGCAGTGATGGGAATAATGCGAACCCAGTAGAGGATATTCCCCAAGGCATGCGCTTCTATTGACAAGTCATCCACCATGCCTCTCCTCACCAGCACGCCAGGAAGCATCTTGTGGAGCACCACCCAGAAGTACCAAGGTGCCATCAAAATGATATACCGGAGATGTGGAGGAAGGTGTGTCCAGCACCAAAAGAAGGGAACTTCAATTGGCAATGCGTAGGGAGAGAGCCATGAAATCAAACGGCGAACTGGGCCGTCCTCGACCAGGCAATGGGCAAGCCATTGTGGAAGGCCCAAGTGTAAGCGGAAGCCTTCGTCTGCCAAGGAGCACTTTGTGGCCATGAGTGCAGCAAAAGACCACAGCTGTCGCAGCAAGTTTCCTACAATATACTCATATACACTGACTCCTTCCGGAAAGCTCTGCTTCTCGATTTTATATATTACTTCCTTTTGCCTTCTTTTGGATTCTTGTCAGAAGTCACACTTATGCTGCTGTTCAACCTTCAGCGTTGACACCCTCGAAGCCAAGCTGTGCCCAAGCCGGGACGCGCGGCAGGGCGTTGAGCACTCAAGCTCACTTCATCTTGACCAAGTTCAACACATTGGTTTGGATTGAGGAAAATGCAAAAAAGTGTGAGATTCAAGCGCAACATAGTGCAACATAGCAAAACTGCAAATCAACACTCCTGCTTGAAGGCCCAGAAAGTTCACAAGGCTCCATGGCCAAACAGAGTGCGCAGCCCGCTCTTTGAGCGATCTTTCGCACTCTGCGGAGCGAGGCGCTCTTCAAGAGAAGTGAAAGTCGATGAGTCTATGTACGCATTCCCATCTGGAATTCTTTCAACATCTTCACGATTCCATCAGTTTGTCCCCATCTCAGTACACATGTTTGCATGTTTGCATATGTTTTGATGTGCTTCTTTCAAGCGTATCTCTCATATTCTACAATCTCCACGCGTACCTCCCTGCCACGCGACCCAAAGGAACCCAAAGGATCAAAGCTTGCACCTTGCTATATAGTAAAAAAAAAGATGCAATTAGTCAGTGCCCAAAGCGCGTTTACAGAATCTGTGAGTCATCCTCAGCACAACCAGGTCACGCCACGAAACATGACGAGGTCACGGCACGATCTTTCGGCAAGTTGCCCACATAGAGTCGACAAGTTGGCATTGCCAACCGCCTTGAGCAGACGTGTCACACGTTGCGTTTCAACATATATGATGCGTTTCATTCCGAATTCTTCGTTGTGTGTTGAGGCTACCAGTTGATTCATAGACAGGTACGACACTGACTCAAGAAAATGAGACTTGGAACGCGTCGAGATCTGTACAAGTGTTGTTCCATCTCATCAAGTCAGAACAAAAAGAGATTCAATGATCTTGACACCATCCTATTCTGGCCATATTCGGCTGTTTGCTGGTTTTTTTTTCAGCTTTGCTGGCTTCTCTCTCGTCCTTGTCACAAGCCTCGAGGCTTGAATGGCACGAAGAGTGACCGAAGCGAAGACCAAAAGCCCAGTGGAATCGCCGGATTGAAGGCTTTGCAGAAGGCGTTTGAAGCGGAGCGGTGAAGCGGAGAGTAGCGAAGAGCAGTGCCTCTTGTGCCATGGAAGGCATGAGGCATGTTGAAATATGTTCGGACAACCTCTTCATGTTTTAAGAACTCTTCACTGAAAACCTTTTAGCCTTCATGAAGAAAACAAGTCTGCGGTTTTCCTTCATTGAATTGCTGTTTTGCCGTTTTGAAGTCTCCTTTCTGTGTCTGCCATCAATAAGATACGGGCTGCTTCGATTCACTCCTCCCTCGAAGGCCAGGGCCTGTTGAGGCAGGCTAGGGAGGCCTGGCAAAGGCTGAGGTAGTGAACACCTGAAGACCTGATTGCCCTGAGTCATCTCGCCCTTTTGAATCCGAAAGGCAAGAAAAAAAACAGAGACTTAAAGAAGGTAAGGCAAGGCCCCCTTCTTAAAGAAGGCGCATGACCCCCTCGAAGCCCTCCCCTTGCCACTTACCACCATCTCTCCTGTGTCTTCTTCAAGCCGTTGAGGGCACTACCAGGCTCGTGGCCTTCTGCAATGTATATATATATATATAGAGAGAGAGCTCACCCTAGCTCTGGTGACAAACCATTCCAATTCACTATGCGGGAGCTCCTCTGCAAGCGCGACAAGGCCGCTGCCCCGCGTGCGAGCCCTCTGTGCACAGCACGCCTGCAGTAGACCAGCAAGTCTTCCGTCTAAACACGAAGGAAGATGCGACTCAAGGATCCGTGCTCCACTAAGAACAGTACAGCTAACCCTACTTCCAACCAGACTGGCTGCAACGCTTCTAGGCTTACAGGCTGTTGTCTTTTTCAATCCTGTCAGACTTGGAAGTGTCTAGTCTTTCCTCATGTCATCTGGCCCAAAACAAGGCCTCCAACACCGCTTAGCCGGCCGCTTGCACAGCGGTGTGCACACGCGGAGCGCGCTAAACCGGGCTCCAAGCTGGGCCAAGCTGCAAAAACCGCCAATTGCATGTCATGTCTATTTGCAGTGCTGGCATGACAAGTAGTGATCTAGTGCACATGTTTTTGCCTTGCTTTTATTCCTGGCTCAGCAAGAGTGCCACTTCTTGTTCTGACGCAGTTCCGGGAGCAGTGGAAGTTGTGTCCTCTCGGACTGGCTCATCTTCGATCTCTCGAGGTTCTGCATGCATCTGCAATGTCTGTCTAGCTGCATTCATCTCCCGCTGAGCCTCCCTCATGTAGCTTTCTGTCATCTCTGTGATAGGTGCAAAGGCAAGGCGTAAGCGAGTGGCCGGCCAGCGTTCCATTGGACCAGCTGTGAGATCACCAATGTTGGCTCTACAAAGACCCCAGTCACCTTTGGCAATCTCGCCCAGTAATTGTGCCCGAGACCAACGTGCATCTCCCCACACAGCAAAGACTCGACCATTGGAGCCCTCAAGGCCCTCAAGGTTTGCAGGCCGGAGCTGCTTGCCATCTCCATTCCGTAGGCGCACCAGCCAGCGGCCCGAGTCTGCATTAAAGCGCAAAGCCAGGCCGATCTCGCCATTCAAATGAGCAGCTCCCTGCAAGCCTTGGAGTCGGACAGTCTGGCCAGCGTGAATATCACCTTCTGCATCTTGGCGCTTGACAGCACGACTGAAGGCCAGCTCAATCGCTCGTGAGAGGTCCTTCAGCACGGTCCATCCACAACCTCCTCCGCCAAGCACAACGCAGCACATCAATTCCTTTTCTTGGCATGGCCCTCCCATGAAATGGGTGATCTCCACTGAGCTGGCTTTCCGGTACTTTTTGCAAACTGCTTGCATCGCCCTGTCCACCAACCCACGGTCTGGTGGCAAATCCAGCGGTCTTGTCAGGTTCACAGCCACAACATGATCATTGCCGCAATTCTCCGGCTCATCTGATTCTAGGACAAGAGTGCATGGAGCTTTCAATCCTGCAAAAGCATCAGCAAGCGCATTGGCCTGCACACCTTCCAATTCCCCCCCGGCGGCCACACGCCAACGGCGACCCTGTGATGTAAGGCTAAGTCTGTCGTCCATCTTGGCGCGAACTCTTTGGAGCACGCCTTCTGAATCAACTCGGAGGGTCAGCTTTCCTTCGTCCGGCTCCACCTGTGTAATGAGGAACACGCCACGAATCCAATGCTCATAGCTGCTGCTGTGCCTCAACATGGGTGGCATTGCCGCCAAACTTCTCTCCAACTCTGCTGAAAATGCCTCATGCGAAGCAATGACACAGCCCACGTCGATGAGAGCTGCAATCTCAGGTCCAGTGAAGGAGGCCATCAGCTCGTGGCGTGTGGGCGGTGCGCATGAGAATTCCGATTTGCACACATTGCAGGTCTGATGCCTCAGGTCTCTGTCGTAAAAGGCTGGATGGGTCGGCTGGGTCACCAAGACCATCCGTTGCCACTGGCGAAGGCATTTCAAGTGTACATATTTCTGACCACCCGCGCACTTGCAAGGTGAGATGAGCTCTCCATCCTCATGGCCACTAAAGCAGTAGCGGCATATGATCTCCTCCTCCTCCACGGCCATCTCACAGTTCGAGGTGCAGGCTACTCAAGTGCTTGGCGACACCGGCCAGTTGGAAGCTACGTTTTAAGCATGCTATTAGGTTGGAGGCCATTGCTGTTGTGTTGCGTTTCGAGCATGCACTACAGAACCGGTTTGGGGCTACCTTGCTGTGCCTACGCCGAGGTGCTTCCACCCTACGTCCACCAGGTTGAAAAGTTCTGTTACACAATTGAAGGTTTGAAGGTGCTTGAAAAAGCATTGCGTTGTGTTTCCTCCAGAGGTGGATTGATTCTATGCTCTATCACGCATTGCTACACAAATAACATCCAAGCTGAGGGCAAGCATCTTCAAGCCAACATCCAAGAGTTCTTGACAACATCCCTGCCACTCCACTCCACAGAGCTCTTTTTCCGGTGTTTTCAGCGGACTTCGATCCGTCCAAACGACCTGTCCATCTCCAACAACCTGTCCGTCTCTTCGTATCTCCGATCAACTGAACGGCACGTCTCGGTGCCTGCTTCGCCCGAGGTGTCCTTCGATGAGCCCAACGGTGTCCTTCGGCAGACCAGTGTCCTTCGATGCTCGTCACCAAACACGACCATCTTTCGTCACCTGGCGGAGTTGGCAGGAACGGATTTTATCTTCGCAGACTGTCCTTTTGGGTTTGGGGCGGCCCCAAATACTGGCTGCACACATTGCAGCAGTATCAGCGCTGTCATGGTGTTGTCTGCTGGGTCCCAACCTTGAGATTCAAGGTGTGAAACAGCTTCTTGAAGCTCTCAAAGCTCAAAGAGCCAGGAGGTACTGCGTTTCAAGAGTGATTTCAATTGGCATGCAAGGTCAAGTGAAAAGAAATTGTTGCATCCAGTCAACCCAGGTCTCCTTTAGCTTGTTCTGCTGCGACCTCCAACAAATCCTCTGCCTCCTCCGGCTTGCAAACCTAGAACATGTGTCAGGACGCACAGTAAGACATGTTCATCGTTTGATCATATCTGACATCGGCATGACAACGATGAACATCATGCCATGTCCAGAGCCTCTGGAGGAATTCTGAAGCGGATTAGCGCTTTGCGAAGTGCCTCAAACAAGCCCCAAACCAGGGTTTTGGGGCTTGCAGGCTCTGGGGCTCACAAGGTATCAAAGCAAAGAAGCGAACTGAAAGAGTCAGTCACTGCTTGCCTCAGCTGTGATGGAAGAGTCCGCAGCAGCAAGCACTTGAAAGCTTGCCTGTGTCGCTGTGCAACAGAAGCAAAGAAAGAATCCGACTCAATGGCACTAGAACGGCATGAAGAACTCAGGTGATTCAATCAATGATTCAATCAACCTCGGCCGCTTTGGACATGGCTGTTGCTGCAGCCTGTTGCATCTCCTTCCAACAAAGTGCGTTTTGCTCAAAAGCATCAAATTTGAGTAAGATTGTCTTATACCGTACCTGTCTTTTCTAGTTGTTGTTGCCAGCAGCTAACCCTCCGATTCTAACTCAAAAGTTGTATAGTGCTGGGGCGGGGCTCCTCTTTCTCTGCCTGGCGTGCACGCTTTGCTCGCGAAGCTTTGCTTCGCGGACCCTGTCAGAGTGCACGTTTGTATGTGGCGGTCTGACACAGCGTTTTGACAGCATCAATCAGGAATAGAGAGTCAAGATAAGATTGAAAAGCGAAAAACAAAAAGCGGTGCGGCCAGGCAATTGTCATTGACCGAATGTTGAATGTGGCATGGTTTTACGCCCACGAGGTCCCACACCTGGTGGCTGGACATTTGAATGTTGGGTTCACGTTCATGTGCCATTCCATCTCGCCAGTTCACCTCGCATGAACCACAAGAAGTGACCGGTGATGACATTGGATACATGTATCATTGACACTTTGTGTCAACTGGCTACACTCAACAGCATCCCGGCGGGGGCCCGTTTCCGCGCTTGCGGTTGCACAAACTTTCGACCAATTGGCGGGAGGATCGTTCTGTTGTGTAGGCCACCCAATTTTGGATGGTAAGTTTTCTGAGTAAGACTTCACATCTCCAAAGTACAGCAAAGACCGTTGCAAGTTTTGGAACAAAATGCCACGAAACTTGGATCGCGCACTAAAAGAGCGCGACACTTTTATCCCTCGTGTTCGTGCCACCACGCGAGGGCTCGAAGCCAAACTTTGACCGAATGCACTCAACAAATCATAACAAGTCAACATTCTTGTGGTGCCATCGCCACTGCCAACATCGAATGCCCTTCCATATGTCCGAGTTGATGTCGTCACCATTGAGAGATCTGAGCGTTGTTGCCGCGCTTTCCTTGCACAGTCGTTTCATCGATGGGGATCAACAGCTGGTCTCCAAAACTACTTTGCTTTTTTACACAGAAGACTCCTTCGGAATGGTTGCAAGCTTCGTTGCACAAACCATGGTCTGAGCAAAATCCAAGGCATGAAGAGCACCCATCCGTAATGACAATGGCGCGTGGTCCGGCCGAGTCCCCTCGACAGACGCGGTCGAAGGAGTCGAAGCCTCCTGTTTGGAGTACGGCTGTCTGCTGTCAGGAGGGGTTTGCCAGACCGCTGGGATGAAGCACAGCACACCGAGTACACTGCGTGGAATCGCCCTTGGTCAAACGATGAAAAGGGACGATGACATCCCATGAATGAAACACGCCGAAGAGTTGCGCTGGAAGCTGCACCGCCTTCGATTTGTCCAGACAGGTCAGCCTCTTGCCCTTCTTCCGCTAGGGTGACTTCGTGGCTCTGGCATGCTGACAAAAACTTATTCAACGATCCAGCGCCTTTGCCGCTGAGGCCAAGCTGCAAACCAATCTTGTCCACAGAAGGTGGCCTCTGTCCGAAGTAGAGCTGCAAAGCACGTTGCACACGTGGAAAGCTCATGCGCTTGAGGCAGATGCCAGCCAGCGCATCTTTGTATATACCCGTCGCAATCGTCGCGGCGAGTGAACTTGCTCAATGCGGGCATGCAAAAAAGAACGATCAGCCAGGAAGAAGTCCTTCAAAACTGATTCGGGGATGGGCACTTCAAACCGGACAAACGCAACAAAAGAACTAACAACACACACAAACAAACCTCAAGAGTTGTCCCGCATTCGCAACGCACACAAATCAGGTGCAAGTGGTGTGGGAAGAGGGGAGATGAGCGCAGACGGAGTGGGTGGTAGGAGGAAGTGCTGCTTCGTGAAAGTTACCGTACTGTTTGGGACTTGGATGTATTTTCAGCAGCTTTCGTTTTGGGTTCTCGGCGTCGATATTCCCCCACTTTGACTGCCAGGCCTCCTTATCTCCAGCACTTGGAGCTAGGCCTCAGTCCAAACTTATATAACTTCTGAGATGCTCAGCTGGTGTATCTTGGTATGTGCACAAGCACGTAGTATCTGCAACCAAAACAAACTAGCAGGGGAGCAAACCCTCATCGTCTTCGTCTTCAGAGATCTCCTTCGAGCTGGTGTTTCTTGAAGATTCAACGGCAACACAGCTACTGACAAAGTGCGATCTAAAATGTTGGGAAAAATGAAAATGAATTGCTGCTTTTTCTCACCGCGCCAGACTTCTAGATTCTAGAACTTGGGTTTGTGGATGCATATGCGCATGCGCCCCAGCTCTCCCAGCTGGAACCGACAGACAACAGCTGCAGCAGAAGGCATTGCCTCCTTCAGAGGCAAAGACTGTTCTGAGCCTGCTTGAAAACAACTAACCTCTGACTCTGTTGTGGCCTCAGTTGTACATGCTAAATGATCTTCTGCTGCGCATTCGAGCTGAAAATTGGAAATGTTCCTTAATTGTGCTGTGAAATAAATCGATGACAGCCCCGCCGCGTATGCGGCACAACCTGAAAATTGGAGTTCACACTATATACCTTCGCTTCCGACGATATTCCTGCTCGCAACTATCTGATGAGCAGCTGTCCCAATTCGACTCTTTGGCTGAGCAACGCTTGCTGACGTTGAGAAACTGTCCCTAGCAAGAATAGCCACAGCTTGCAGTCGAAATTCTTCTGAAGGATGGTGCAGAACACTTTCCAAGCAAATCCTCATTCTTTCGGCTGATGAAGAATTCGTAGACCCTAAAGAGCTATGTCCATCCTTCATTCTAGAAGTTGCAATATATGGCCATTGGCCATTTACAGAGTCGACGCTCGCTATATACACGTTATGTACAAGCAGCCAGCCAGCGGTATCCTTGAGCTGCTCAGATGTTTGAATTAAATCAGAACTTGGCACCAAACGGCTGGCTTGTACAAATTCAAGCAGGAAAAATGACTCACAGTACACAAAGACACTGTCGTTGCTAAACTTCAACACACTGACACAATCATCTTCCAGTTGTTAGTGGTGTTGATGCTTGCTTGATTCTCCGATTCTTGGTTGCGTCTGTGCGTGCACTTCAGGTGGCCATCTGCGGTGAGAGAAAAGACGTTAAAAGCTGCTCAGTTCATAAGAACCAAACATTAACAATTGAAAGATAGCTCATTTCAAGCTTCGCACGGGCAAAGAAATCCTTGTGCCCGAGTACTTGCTACGGGTGCAAACATGTAAATCTCGCGCGACATCAGCCAGCTGGCTTATCTGTGGTAAGAAGCTGGGCAGTCAGAGGCTCGCAATGACAACTGAAAGTAAGATAAATCAAATTGCCTGCAGGACACCTTAGTTGGAAAGCAATTCACTCAAAAGTCGACACAGGTTGAACCTGCAAAAAAAAAAAAAGTCCGTCACCAGTGCAGGGTGGGCCACTGTTCGAGAGACCCTTCAATGCTTCGTAGACACCAAACCATACCATTGCTTCTGGAAGAAAATATACGGCATTCCTCAGATGCAAGCTCAAAGCATAACTTGGGTCGTGCTTCGGCAAGCAATGGCAGCAGGATAAACCAAGCTTCTCAAAAGCACCTTTGCCAAAGCCAGCAAGACCCTCATCATCAAGAACCTGCCGTTTCTGGATTTGTTCCACATATACTGTATACCGTATACGTTGTTTTATGGGGAAACTCAACAAAGAAGCAAGTATTCACAGCCTTTTTCGTGGCTTGCACAATCTCTTCCCAGGTTCCCTCAATGCTGAAGGGCTTGTCATCCTGGCAGAAGGTCATTCTACAGCACTTTCTGTTCCATTGACTGCGACAATGCTCGGACCGTGAAAATGCTTTGCTTCGCCTCCGTATCATTTGATTCCAAAGCCAACCGCTGCATCACAACGTCCTCTTGGAAGAAAAACGAAAGGAAGAAAGTACATAAACACTCAACATCAGACTCTACTATATACTAACTCATGCAAGGCAATGCAAATGAGTATAAAAGCTTTGCAGTCCGGCGGGTTTGTCAAGTAGCCAGTACAAAAGCCAGCCACTCCGCCCCAAATGAAGGGTTCAAACCAAATAGGCACCTCGCGCGGCTCACGCTCAACGAAGAACAAAAGACAAAGGCGAGAAACCCTTGGAAAAGGCAAAATGACAACATTGTAATCCTTTCAATGCTCATCTTTGCAGCCAAAGGACCCCCAGGCTTTCCAGCAAGGGTGGTGTCTTATCCTCTGCTCCAGCAAGGTCCATATACTCAGTCCAACTTTAAACAGCGCATGTCACAATAATTCCAGTCCTTCAATATCTCATAGATGAAGCACTGGAAAGCTCCGAAGGGCACCTGAGCCGCGCTTTTCACATGGCCAGCTGCCGAACTCAGGCTTGGTCAAGGGGTCAAAGACACCTCGGTTCAGGACTCCTCGGATGACTGTCAGCATCAAGTTGCGCCCTAAGCGCTTCGTGACCTGCAACGAGTTCAAGTCCCAGAATGCACAGCTTTGGACAATTCACAGGTTTCGTTTCAGCACTGATTAGAATGATTAGTACGTAAACACATGCCGCCCCATATACTGCGGTCTTCCATAAGGCATATGCTTGATTACACAAACGGTCACACACATCTAATAGTTTGATGACCCAGCTCTGCCTGCGAAGGACTCGGTTTCAAATACACATTCCTCAAATCGAACTTTAGCATCATCCACAGCTGCCCGACGGTGCAACAGTGCTTCAATACCCAGGCGATCCGATATGATCGATCGGATTTGTTCCGGTTCATCAAAGCTTCTCCAAAGCCTCGCCAGCGTTTTGAGCAAGTCCAGCTTGAACCTCAGCAAACAGCACACAAAATGCACAAGCTGCTCGAACTCCCGACAAAGCTTTGGCGTGTCTTTTTTCTGGGACTCAGGCTTGCTTGCTAATGTCTATCACGGGAGCTTTGACAAAGGCACCCGAACACATCGCCAAAATGCCTTTGTGCTTTGCATCAGAAGCACAGTGGGACCACATGTCAACCGAACGGAACTGGTGCCTGCCTGAAGGGATCATCAGCAAAAACTTGAGGTTGGGGTCGTTTCCATTGATGAAGGGTAGGCTAACCTCAGCCATGCTGTTGCCGACATGTTATGTGTATATTGTGTATGAAATATATGCAACTCTCACGGATGTCTTTAGAATACGCCAAAATTATGCCAAGAATGTTAATTGTTAAATATATTTAAATATGGCATTTGCCCTTGACTCAGCTCTTGAAACTTTGTGCATGTGTTTATGAAGTCAAACAATCTCGTGGCTTAGACTACAAAAAAATGATTTGGTGTGGGACAAGTGACAAATGATACACGCCCCCATGTTTTTTTTATCGAAACGTCTGTGGGTGTTTTGGATTGAACCCGCATGCTCTTTTCTTTTCGAGGTAGGCAACTCTTTCAGAGGACGGGGTAGCCGGATGCTGCCCAGGGTGTTATTGTCCAGTGTCTTGTTGTTGGGCGGTGGCAGGTGCATCGTCAAAGCTTCTGACAAGTACGCGAACAGATCAGTTTTGGGTGATCAACCTCTAGGACCCTAGGAGGAAGCTTGCACAGCCTGAACCATGGGCTGTGACGGATATCGATAGTCTATCGTTGAAAGAGCACCACTGCCACGCGCCACCCTTCCTAACTGCGGTAGGCAGAAGCCGGCTGCGCGACTGCACGGCAGTATAGGCGGATGTGGTACTTCTGCCCACAGTGTGCTGGAAATGCTGCCAATCTAGCATCTCTCCGATGTGGAATATGCTTTTGCTTGTACAAACTTGTGAACATTTGTTGGCCGGGCAATGTGCCTTGCGACACTGGCGAACAAGACGTCACATTCTTCCTCGAGCTTTTCAAGCAGCAGCACAGAAGTTGGCGATTGAATACATAAAACGGGCAGAAGAAGCCTCCTGCAATTTCTTCTTTTGAGCAGCCATGCCTGCTATCCAGCAGGCTCACTCTCCCTCTCATTCCCACGTTTACCGGCTGGTTGGCTGCTGGGTGGCTCTTACACTACCTGGCTTGCCTTTGTTTGCACCATACCGAAGGAGCCTGACGCAACTGGCGATTCATGCGCTCCACCAGAAGGTGATGTTCTGTCACTTTGACTTGGCCAGCAAGGCCCTATTGTTGGGCGGATTCGTGTGGCTTTTGGTTTCATGGTCACTTTTTCTTTGACATGTCCTGCATCTCTTGGTTTGTGGTCATTTATGTCGAGTGGCGGATCTCGCAAAAGCCTGCTCGGATTTGAAGTTCTTGATAGACGAAGCTCGTGTTTCTATGGACGTGCAGCTCAAGCTTGTACAAATGCGAGTTCACCAGGATGCTCGCATGATTCGATGACACTAAGAAGGCCAATGCGAGTTTGGATCTGCCGTCGGTGTGGGAGACTTGAGAAGCACCCGCGGACACCGCTTGCTCGGTGTGAAGAACTTGCAATGCGCCAACGATGGAATACGCTGCGGGCGGCGGGAAGCCATTGAAGGAGTTCATGGATCCCTTCGTGACAAAAAGCTACCGAGTAAATCTTTGGCACGGAAACTTGAACGCACGTGGAAGACACAATTACCCGCACGTCCAAGATTTGCGAGGCAGTTTGGAAGAAGCCCAAACTGCATACCATTTTACACCGGCCTGCTCTTACCTCCGCATCAAACCTGGGCAAAACGACTACCACACCACTGCACGTCGAGGATGCGCCATCGGTGCTTGGGTTTGGCGTGAAAAATGCTGCACGCCAAACACTCCTCTCGACTGCCTTCTCGACCATAGTTGCCTGAGCGGTGCCTTGGATGACCGGATCGCCAGCCTCCAATGACGTCATCTCTAATGGGAAAGCAAAGGACCCTCTCGGATGGGGAGGCTTTGCCGTCTCACTATCGATGCTGCTCTGCAGATTCGTCTGCATTGGGCTTCATGGAAGCTACTGGCACTGAACAGGAAAAGCTCTTTGCAAAGGTATCGTGATGTGAAGCTGCTTGCAATGAAGCGAGCGACTGGAAAAGCGGCAGACTGTCCCTTCACTGCTCAAACTGTAGAGGAAGGTAGGTAATTGAGGTTTCTGGCACTTGAGTTTGCAGGTACTGCTCCGGATGCTCCTTCGTACTGGGCAAAAAAGGAAACACTGGTTCATAGCTCCCAAATTCCATTTTGATGTACGACATCCAGCAAAACAACCATATACAAGTCAAGCACAGGGTCGAAGAGTTCTCCCAAAACTTGCCTTGCCTGCTAATCAAAGGGCACCAAACCAGTCAAGTAAATCAATCCACCGATCACGACGATTTCATGAAACCAGAATACAGGAGTAATCTCAATCTAAACAATCAAATGCACGGGGTTAGAGTGGCACCGACCAAAATATCGCCTCAAAGAAGTTGTTCAAGAGACCACACATACTGCTCCGTTCATGAAACAGTTATATGTTGGTGGGGGTGGTACCATAAACATATATATATACACAAACATCAATGTGTGTGTTTTTGCATGCGTACACAAAATGTATATAGGCAGAATGCATCTGTTTGATCATAAGACTCCGGCTGCAAATCTCGTGAAGTAGTTAAAGCCTGCCATGAGGAATCCTTGATTTGGCGCCTGCAGAAACACGAAAATCAGTCTCAAAATCTGAGAAAGTCTGTGAAAGTCGCTCTCAGACTGCGGTTGGTCAGCCTCTCGCAGAACATTCAGCGTCAAGCCCCGGAAAAGCGCCTCAAACGTGAGACGGGCGAATGAAAGCAGCAAGCAAGCATTGGCTGGCACATTTTGCATGAATGATTGTTGCAACTAGGCGACTTGAGGACCTTCTGGAGGCAAGAGTGGCAGATTTGATTGAGCCCTTGCCTGCCGAAGCTAGTTGCACCAGAGTGAATCAAGCTGAATCAGCGGTGACTGCTCGTTCCCTTCTCTCCTTGAGTGTCTCCAAAGGATAGGTGAGGGAGCAAGAGACAATCGCTGCCTCAAAAGACTTCGCACATGGCGTTACGTTCCGTGTGTGACATCATGTGACATCCAACACGGCTTGTCGGAGCAAACCAAAACCAAGACAAAGTCTCTCAAGTCAAAAGCAAACCAGAGTTCGTTGGGAAAGAAACAATCAGAATATCAGGATAATGGATGAGGATTAAGATCGACAAGTTGCGACAGTTGCGAGGACCAGATCTTGAACATAGCTCTCATCACTGCCACGAGTCATCACCAGCCAGGAGTACGGATATGCTTTGACCTCTCGTACCTGAAAACCATGTGCACGCCTTCAGTCAGTGACTCAAAAACACATCATGGATCTGGCAACACGGCTCAGTTTCACCGTTGACCCGACTCCAAGATGTTTGTTTCATTCATGTCGACTCCGTTCCAATCGTTTGTTCCATTCGTTTCGTTCGGTTCGTTTTCTTTCGATTCAACACGACTCGTTCGACTCGCGTGAGTCAACGGGCCACTGCAGTGCAGTCAGGTGGCTCCACCACTCTTCGAGACGCCAAGCACCTCGACATGTGAAAAGAAAAAAACAACAACAACAACAGCAGCAACAGCAACAGCAATTGAAAGCACAAAAAAATGCAAAAGAGGTCTCTCCTCAGTCTTAATGCTTCCATGCTGCGGGGTTTGGTTCCAACTTCACCACAGCTGAAAGAACCTGCAAGGAGAATCTTCAAGACGCACAAATACAGACTTTTCATGGACAAATCTTGGCCACGGGCTTTGCTTACCCACCGTTTACAATAGGTACTCATCAGAGGTCGACATCTGATTCGGTAACCAAACGGTCTGACTCCACAACTATGATTCGGTAACCAAAAGCGCTGATTTGGTAACCAAAACGTCTGATTCGGTAACCAAAACCGCTGATTCGGTAACCAAATCCTGCTGATTCAGTAACCAAAACTGCTGGTTCGGTAACCAAAACCGCTGATTCGGTAACCAAAACCAGGAAACCAAAACCAAAAACATTTCCAAAAGAAGAAACTGATGACCCGGGTAGTGGTAGTAGTTGTTGTAGTTGTAGTTGTAGTTGTAGTTGTAGTTGTAGTTGTAGTAGTAGTAGTAGCAGGTGGTGGTGGTGGTGGTGGTAGTGCCACCGATGCAAAATCTCTCCGCGAAGCAACACGAGAAACGTGATTATCTTGGCCATGATTCCCCCCCACCCCCCCACCCCACACTCCTCCTGCCGTCCGCCACTAATTCTTACTTGAATGAATGTAAAAGCCCTTTGCGTCCACATGGAACGTTTTTATCTTGGCCATGATTCCCCCCCCGCCCAACACTCCTCCTACCCTCCACTCTGTTCAGCCAGATGCTGTTGACAAACAAATTCGATTCGTACTTGAATGAATGTAAAATCCCTTTGCAACCCCAATGGAACCTTATTTTTTTGGCCATGGTTCCCCCCCCCCCCCCCCCACCCCACACTCCTTCTGCCATCCACCACTACTTCTTACTTGACTGAATGTAAAGCCGTTTGCATCCACATGGAACGCTATTGTCTTGGCTTAGTTTCTGAACAGTCTACCTTGGTTTCTGAATCGACTGTTTTGGTTTCTGAATCGGCCGTTTTGGTTTCTGAATCGGCTGTTTTGGTTTCTGAATCGGCTCTTTTGGTTGCTGAATCGGCTCTTTTGGTTTCTGAATCATAGTTGCTGAATCGCCTGGTTTGGTTTCTGAATCGGCCGACTTGGTTTCTGAATCGGCTGTTTTGGTTTCTGAATCGGCTGCTTTGGTTTCTGAATCGGGACTCGCTTGGTTTCTGAATCGGCCCGTTTGGTTTCTGAATCGGCTCATTTGGTTCCTGGATCGGACCATTTGGTTTCTGAATCGGACTGTTTTGGTTTCCGAATCGTAGTTGCCTGATCGGTTGGTTTCTGAATCGGCTATTGACCCTCAGCCTTATGTCCACACCACTTAGTGACATAGCCCAGCACTACAAAAGACCAGGAATGAAATGAAAAAAACACAGGAAGTTGAGGCCTTGCTGTCCAGGTCGTCGCCATTTTCGCGGCCTAGCCAAATGATGCGCCCAACCTGTGAGAGGCCCAAAACAGGACCCGTCGATCACTCTAAGTGAGTCAAATTGACCAGTTCTCCCACAGCGCTCCAACAGCGTGCCTTTCCCTTGTCTGGACCTTGCAGCACAAGCACCTGGCAGATATAGCACCTTCCGGTTATATATTTGGAAGGAATTTAGCCATCTTGCCAAAGGTTATGCAGTATATACCTTATACCAACGTATAGACCCCAAAACTGTATATAGCAAAAACAAACATCGCGCGTGTTTCTTGTTATGCCACCAAGTTCACATAGGGTGCAGAAAGCCGGCTGCAGGTCCACGAAAAGGGGTGCACATGACAGGACTCGGCTGCTGGCCCAAATCCTAATCCCAAGTGGAGAAGCGAGCAGCTGTCAGACCGTCAGCAAGGGTGCGGAGTGCGGAGCCACAGCAGGATCAAAGAGACAATGAATACAAAACACTATATATATATATATTAGATGTATATTTGGTGCCTCCACAAGATCTCCCTCTTTCATGTGTTTTTAATACCTTGCGGTCAGATGTGCGGGGGGTACCTCTTCTGTCAGTGGCTCCAAAGTTTCCTTTAGTTTTTGCATCAGTAAATCTCAGATGCCACTTCGAAGGTCACGGACATGTTTAGCAGTCAAAGATCCATCGCCTGAAGCCTGCTCCTCTGGTTTTCTCATCGGTTTACGCATCTTCCACTTGTTGAAGTGTTCCAGTATGGGTCACATGGCATCGTTGGCCTTGCGCTAGCTTAGCTTGCGCTTACCTTGCGGAAAACTTACGGAAAATATATGCTTGCATTTCACGACCAAAAACAAAATTATCACAGAAATTAAGGAAAGTTGAAGAACTAGCTGCAATCCACTTGAGCCTTTGCCAAATAGCTACGAAATTGTAGAATCTCCCAGGTTGTCCCATTCATCTCAAATAAACGCACCTGCATTTCAATCTAAAAATAATCTACATAATGAACTTGCGCTCGCCCTTGCGGCTGCTTAAAGGCAAGGTCTGATTTTCACATTTGCACTTGGTCTAAATGTCTGTTTCTCGGGTTTCGGTCGACTCTCATATATGCATAGATTGGAAATAATAAACAGTAAAAAAAACTCGTTTGTGTTTCCAAAAGACTACAGTATATAGTTGTTTTGGACCTGGATTCAAGATTCTAGATCCCTAGAAAAACTTGGTCCAGCTCTTGAATCTTGAATCTAAATATAGAGGGAAAAGAAAAGAAAACTAGGTTTTGTCGCAAAAACTTAGGCCCCTGATACGGGTTTGTCTAACAGAAGGGGGGCGCCCTGCGGGGATGGAGTGGTGACACTTGTAGAAATGCGCAGTTTTGGTATAAAAAGCTATTGCTTATATTGCATGTCTGAGACCATAATTTTCTTTGTTCTTCGCGTGACAATATTTACAGTTGTCCTACATTTTCTGATTGTGTAAAATTGTGAAGACAATATTCGACACATAGGGCGCGCTTTTCCCTTCCCCAGGACTCCTGGAAAATTGTTTTCGCTGTTTAAACTTTTTTGGTGCAGGGTGGGCACGCACAGACCTGCACTCCATGCAAAGCTCTAGCCCAGCTTTGGGAAGTCTACATTTTAGGTCCGTATATCCCTATTTATTTCTGTTGATGTCCTTGTAAGTTCCTTTTGAATTCCTGTTGGTTCTTGTTGATTTTAATAAACACATCCCGTGCAATACTGTCCACGCCTTCCATTGTTCATTAGTGTTATTGTTTATATTTCTCTCCCCAAAGCACCCTAGAAAGTTGTGGTGGCTTTTGTAAATTAAGGCCGCAACATCTTTGTTTTCTTATCCAATCAACTCTTTGTCCTCCAGCTTCTGCTTTCTTTGCTCACTTGCATCTATCTCAGTGTCGTTTATCACAGCTACACCTTGGGCCACAACCATCTGCATCTATGTATATATGTATATAAAAGGAACCCTAGAATATTCTGTTATAATCTCTTGACTCTTGAGTCTTGAGTATATTGCTTTGTTGACCCGTATATACCAGGGTGTGAGCACACTCAGCGTCTATAGCGATGAAACGACACAGGTTGAGCGACGTCTGGAAAGATGTCTTGTTGCACTGGAAGATCAATAATGCTTCCGCTCTGGAGCAGGCACTTGAACCAAGAAAAAGGAGTAGCCGAGCGATGCCAAAGGTGTTGGCTCAGAGTTCACGATGACGAGGCACATGCCAAAAGTCCGCGCGGGCCACGCGCCAAGCTTGACATGAATAGCTCACCACTGGACGGTTGCTACCAGGCAAGGCACTGGTTGCATGATTTCAGCCACCAAAGAGGTTCAGAAATGGCGCGCGAATGATTGTCCAAATTCGCTTTGTCATTGTCTGAGTCGATCCAACTTGCTCTGCTGTAAGCGTGAGGAGAGTGGACCTGCCTCCAAAAAAAGTGAAGCCATGGCAAGATGAATGAGGGCTTCCAAAGCCAATGCAGAGCAAAAGCAACGCAAGCGAGTCGCTGTGCTTTTGTGAACGGTTTCGACTCAATCAGTGCCCGGCTTTGGCTGCGAGAGAAGCTGACTCAAATTCTGAATCAAATTCTTGGAGAGACTGAAGCACTGTAAGAAGGAAACCTACGACTCAAACGGTGAACGAAGCACCAGACCCAAAACATACGTACGCACTCGCGGACAGACGGTCGCCGCTGGAACTAGCATGGCAAAAGCGGTGCTGAGTTCCAAGAACAGGGGTCGTGCCTTCCTCAAGGCCACGGCCGGGCCAGATCGCAGGTTCTGCGAATCCGACGGCCAGTGAAGGCAGCCAGGCTTGTGCGAACCAAAGCTGCAGTCTGGCACGGCCACGCGAACTGAATTCCTGAAAGTTTCTTGCAGATGCTGCTCCCTTCAAAGGCGAGTTGGACAATTCGTAGTAATTCGCACCTCCCAATTCAGAACAGAAACAAATGCAACAAAACCAATCTGGCAAGGGTACCAAATCTCACAGACAACACGAAAAGGAACCTGGTAACCAGACTCCCAAACAAAAGAAACACACAACTCCAAGAAGGTGGCATAAACAATATGTTTTGCGACATCACTGAAAGTATATCAGACAACAAAAAGAGCCACTACTCTGGACTGTTTGTGTTTGAGGTTCTCCAGCTCAGAGAGCTGATCAAGACACAGATGCAACTGACGAAGACAGTCTAAGACCGTTGGAATCTTTTTAAGGCAATGCTGTTGACCTGTTGCTACGTGGAGATTGAACGCTGGGTACACGGACGTACACGGACGTCTCCAAGTCATCTGGCGAGTCATTTTCAAGCACACAATGTTGGGAAAATGAGTGCTTGGTTTTGAGGCACCGGTAGTCACAAATGTCATCATGTGCAAACACAAGTTGGATGTGCTGCAATGCTTTGATGTTTGGGCGCCGCTTAGTATGTTACACACCTTAATAGTGAGAGCAATCCAATCGGTGCCCCCAAGAGAACAGAAATGTACAATGGTCAACTACAAGTGCTCCTGAGTTCGGACAGCCGAGCTTGTGCTTGCTAACATCTGGACCAGGCAAAGCGTGCAAACCAGAAGGCCACGAACCCAAGGAATAAAGCGATCGATTGTAGTTCGGCTGATGTTCACAAAGCTTTTGCAGGCTTCAATATTCCAGACCGAATCTAATCTGGTCATCTCTCAAGGCACTGCGGTTTAACCAGCAAACATCTAGCGGCAGATCTGTGCCTCATCTCGAATCTGTGGCTGCTGCAGCGCAAGAGGTGTGTACCGCAGCTGGTCATCGCTGATATTCTTGAAGAAAACGGTCGTAGAAGTCACAGGGTCATATCCTTCGACCAACAACAACTCTGCGCAAAAAAGATGCGGTTCGAGCTGTCGAACTGTTTCAAAGGCATCTTGGACAAAACTGAGTGTCCTTGATACAAATCACCAGCTTTCAGGAATCTGTCATAGGACAGGGATGTCTTTGCAAAGGCCTCTCAGAACAGAAGGAAAGCAATGAACGCCCCAAACACAAGTTCACAAACCACCCACAGTGTCCTCTTCCACTTCGCGGACTTTCTGGTTCTCTATTGCCTGACTCAAACCCCTGAACTATATCTGGAAAGAACAGCTCGGGGCAAGCAAATGGTGATAAGTTCAGATCAAAATAGATTTAGCATGTTCGGATTCGTTCTGATGTGTCAAGTCATGACAAATCACAGCGAGCGTTCTGCAATGTCTTTGGCTGCAAAAAAACAGCCCACCTTTTCAAGCCGATCAATGTTGACAGCCATCTGCAGGCGATAGAAAGTTAAGCTATCGCGGGTTGCTGCCTTCGGCTGACAAGAATCTGTTTTAAAAAATCTTTTTTAAAAAAAAATGAAAAAAAATAACAATAATAAAAATAAACTTAACAGTCCCTCACCATCTAACACAATCCTCTTTGCATGTATTCAAGGGGCTTTGGTTGCCATAGCAGCCAGGCCACATTTACGTACTTGTCGCCATTGCCGTCATTGAAGGCTTCTTTCTCATAGTATTCCCTTACGTGCATCTTGCTCATGCTTAGAGTCCAACAAACCAGGTTCACGCGTTAGTCGCAACGTCATCCGTCGTTCTTCAGAAACGCAGGCATGTGTCATCAGCGGAAGAAACGCTCGAAGAATTGAAGGGTATACCTGACCGGGAACGCAAAGCGGATATGCCAGACGGACGGATGAAGTGAATCCATCGAACCTTGAGGGACATCCACTCCTCCTTGTACACATCTGCTTGAGCTTCATCAAGCATATCACCTACCATTGATATCCACTGACAATCAATGCTTTGACATGATACTTCCTTTCATATAGGCCATGGAGTACAACTGCAATCTTGGCAATTCAGCTGGTACTGGTGCACGTCCAGGCAAGTTGACCAAGAGAAAACAGCCAAAGAGCAAACCGTTGTTTGTGGGACCAATTCCTTTTCGATACAAAAGGAACCCAGTGGGTGAACAACTGCACCTGCGCTTCTGCGTTTTGTCAGCGTTTTGTTTCATCTTTCAAAGGTGCTTTTAAAAAGTGTTGGAGCATGTGATTTACAGTAATTACTGTAGAGTGTACGTCCTTCAAATTCATATTTTGTTTTGGCGAAATATTTAAAACTCAGCAAATGAAACTGCACTTTTTTTCGGGGCTCGCCAAGAGCGGTTTGGAACTTGAAAAAAAGACTAGTGACTGACATGTTGCCTTCTAAAACATGCAAGGACGAAGCACGTACAGTACGTTCATCTTAGTTGGGTCTAACCATGTTCATGCCATAGCACATCATTTCTGGTGCGTCCCTACCTTCAGCAATATCATTGCAAGCACTTGAACAACTGAGGGCTTACATCACCACTGGAAGTCAACGTGTGCGAGCAAATTAGATTAATGATTAGTATGTGGTGCGTATGCGCATCCAATCCTATCTCTTACACCAATGCACTCTTGATTACCTATATATCATCGTGCTGGATGCTTCCGAGACGCGAAGCGAGCTGCGGGGTGTTTGTGTGTGACACCAAGCGATGTGTCAGTTGCTCTACAGTAGAAGTGTCAAGCCATTTAAAGTTGTTTGCGGCGAAAACAGCCATTAGCCCCCCACCCCACTGCCCCCTCCAATCTCCCTCCCCAAAAAAACATTCAAACGTCACAAAATGCCGCATTTTCCAGTGAAATTGAGGAAGCACCCACTTTGAACAAGAATGTAACAACACAGGGAGGATTAATCGGGATTTGCTGAAAAGTGCACGACCAGCGCGGTTGTGACCCTGCTAGCAGAAAGAAATCTATACTGCTTGCCAGTCTTCAAAGAGAATGAGAATAGCAAAGTGGAGAAAAGCATGGTCACCACAGCTGTCACCTATGTCTCGAATCTTCTTCACCACAGACACAGACACACGGCTGGGAGCTCCCTTTTCTGATGACGGAGCCTTAGTAAATGAGAAAACAAGTGACCAACGAACGCCTATGATACCCACGCCGCACATATGCTGCGCGGGACCGCATGCAGTTGCAAGGTGATCAATTCAGCAAAGACACCAGAGTTTTGACCACATCCTGCAGCTTTGCACCTGTGCCTCGAGCTGATTCCATGAGGCCAGTGTACATCTTGGCCTTGGCATGCCACGCTGATTCTATATAGTCAAATGGCATGCCACGCATACATAAAATGGTCAAATTGAATCATCAATGTTCTTAAAACGACTTCACAGAATGAAAGGTCTTTTGTTAAGCCTGTTCAAAGTGAACTGCAGAAGTGAGGACAGTACCAATTTGTCATCGTACCTGATGACTTGCTCTTCCTTGGACTCTACCTGACACAATGCAACGAACAACATTGCATCTTTATTCGGCAAACTACTGAGCAATGTTGACAAACTGTTACACCGCGAAAAAAGCAAGAGGCGCAACTCCAATCATGCGGAGAGCGCCATCTACCCTACCCAAACGTCAAATTCAGACCACTGCCAAAAATGGCGGTTATGGATCCGTGACTGATGAGATCTTGAAACATTGCGCCATCTACTTTGCATTCTGCTGGATTTTTTTCTAGCCAAAAGCGAAAGTAATCAGTAAGCGCCTACAGTATTGGAAATTAAGTGAAACGATGTACAGTATAAAGACTCTCTTGGGGCTGGCTGCATTTCAAGCAATGGGTCAGCCATGGTGGTTTCGCAACTGGTCAGTTTGTTCTGTTCTTTTATGGTACCTGAAAACCACCTGTTTTTCACAAAAAATCGGGACGGCTCGACAATCGCCTTTGATCGAGTCTACTCGTGCCGTTTTTGCTTGGCATCCCTTGTGTGGAGTAGATGGCGCAACTCAAGGAGCGTAAAATGCCAAGTAGATGGCGCAACTCAAAAACCCTGTGCCTTTTACTTTTTTCGTGGAGTACACGTTGTCCAAACAAAGAACCCTGCACAAGAGCCTCTGAGAGTCTCTCCAGACTTCTCTCCAGAGCTTTGTCAACCTTCAGATTGGCATTGCAAGATATGCAAAGTGAGAGAAGCTACTAGGTTGGAGGCCATCGCTAGTAGGTTGGAGGCCATCACCAGCAGGTTGGAGGCCATCGCTATTATATAGAAACAAAGAAAAAAGAAAAGGAAGAAAGGTCCAATATAGCTTGGTAGAAATTAGATTGGAGGACATCATCTGAGCTCCGCTGGCCTTGTCAGCCACATCTTGCATCTTTCCTGTGGCCTCCGCAATTCAAAAAGCTCTATATACATCAAGAATAGAGTCCGATGATTTTGTCAAGTTCGATTGCAGTCGATTATGAATCATGAACTACTTCCACACTTGTCATAGAAAGGTTGCTGTAGAAAGTCACTACCGTACACTCGCTTGTGGCTCGAAACTTGACAAGTCTTGCTTTTCTTTGCATTGTTTCTTAGGTGCGGTCGGTTAGAAGATGGGGCAGTAGCAAGTTAGGTAGCTGGCTTGAGTGAAAAAGTCAGCAACTAGTAGCAAGGACGCAGAAGAGCTTGCGGAGATTAAGCTAGCAAGACGGAAGCTGCGCAGCGACAGGCACGGCCTTCTGCATGACCAGAGTTGGCTTGGGCAAGGTTTCAGCATTAGGCAAGCTTGAGATTGTTGTACTCAGCTGCACGTCCTAGACAAACCATTGACTCGAAAGGAAACAGTGATGCTGATGTTTTCAGTCTTGAATTCATCGATAAAAACAAACCTATTCAAGATCTTCAGTCTTTTGCCGCCTTGACAGCCTCAGTGGGACTGTCGGCTGTAGGAGCTCGCAGTCCAGAGCCAGCTGCGAGACCAACCAGAAGTGCTGCCAACAAAGGCAAAAGGCTCTGAATTGGAGAGTTTGTCTGCTCTGGCCTAAGCTACAAAGCAGCCATCATTAACGTAGCCTATGATCCTGGATTCGCTCACTAAAGTTCCACCTTACATGTGGTCTTGGCTGGAAGGCATGGCGATACAGGCTGGTGCCTGGTGGCATCAGTAGTTTGTTTACAGAGTCTGCTCAGAAGATCTAGAAACTAGCATCGCATGCATCGTCCTTCACTTGGGCCCCTTTCCAAGACTGTTGGCTTTGTCTTGCTCGCCAGCACTCATGAAACTAACAATCAACCAGAAAGGAGAGCAAGGAGAATCCAAGATATTTGCCAAGAGACTCGAGGTCGAAACTTGTGGGGACCTGACTCGTGTCACATGGTGTCACATGGTGTCACATGGTGACACTTGAGCGGGGAAACACGAAAGGTAGAGACGGACCGGGTAGCTGTCGGGACCTTTTCTGGTGAGGGACTGTCTCCGGTGTTTCAGGAACGTGCCCCTTGGTCAATCATGGATGAAACCAACAAAGCCAGAGAGCACAAGAAGGCTCAAGAGGGACACCGTTGCGGTCAGATTGCGCCACACGGCTCTGCAGAGAGGCTGCGTTGCGTCGACGCTCGTTTGTGTCTAGGCGTTTGAAAACAGGCGCGCGTAAAAGTCGCAATGCGGCAATGCGTATGGACGTCACGCTATGGTGGGTGTGCTCCACGATGCGGTGAGATTTCGCCACGCTAGGGTATAAGGCTGAGTCGAATGGTGTTCCGCGACGCGAGGGGTTTCTCCACAGGGCTTTGCAAAGAGGCTGTGTTGCATCGATGCTCGTTGGTGTCGAGCAATACGGTCTGTGAACGCAGTACGCACTGTGTCAGGCTGCCGGGTGCGCACGC